CCCCCCCCCCCGCCCCATGGTGTGAGAGGCCTTGTCTCCTGCCTGGCTCTGAGATCTGGCTTCAGGCTGGGTGGGGGAGGATACAGTGAGATGGGCCATGACAGGTGGCCCTGACATGTGATACCACCCGTTGACCACAGAGTCCTCACTTTTAGAACTGTTTCCAGAAGTGATGGGAAGGGGCGGGCAGGGCAACTAAATATAGTTCTGGGACCATGGCTCTGGCTGGCTTCCTGTCCACTGTTCACTGTGTGCCCATCACCCATGACATTCAACACCAGCTGCCCCTGTGAGCCTCCTCTAGCGCTCATCTCCCCCTGCTCGGAGCTCACTGCTTGCTCCTTATCTGTCTTTGGATACAGTTCCGACTATGACTGACCCTGACGGAGCCTCTCCTGAGTTTCTTTTGGCCTAAGATTCCCAATCACACCTGTGAGTCCTGTGGGCCCTAGATGCTGGGGAGGTTAGGGTTGGAGAACCTGGGGGGCTGGGTGAGAGGAGTGGTGGGGGCTCTGGAGAATTTGGGGCAGCTGGGGCAGGGCCTGGGACCAAGGCCTAGGTCAGAGGCTAAGTCCTGGGGCAAGGACAGTGGGTAAGACTGTATTTGGGACTCAGGCTGGTGCTTAGGAACTGTGGTTGAGAAAAGGGGACTAATAAGAGGTGTTTTCTATCAGGCAGTACTGCAGTTGAGGCCCTTGAGGTGTGAGATGTGGGACCGTCTTATAGCGGGGCCTCTTCACTATGGGGGCTGCACACCGGCTTGCGGCTGGGTCGGGTGCGCGGCCCCCCTGGGCTCTTCTGACCCATCATCCCTCCTCCACCTAGACTCGCCATGTCGGCCGCACCCGGCCTCCTGCACCAGGAGCTGTCCTGCCCGCTGTGCTTGAAGCTGTTCGACGCTCCCGTGACGCCCGAATGCGGCCACAGCTTCTGCCGCGCTTGCCTGTGCCGTGTGGCTGGGGAGCCGGCGGCGGACGGCACCGTGCCCTGTCCAAGCTGTCAAGCACCCACGCGGCCGCAAGCGCTCAGCACCAACCAGCAGCTGGCGCGCCTGGTAGAGGGGCTGGCGCAGGTGCCGCAGGGCCACTGCGAGGAGCACCTGGACCCGCTCAGCATCTACTGCGAGCAGGACCGCGTGCTCGTGTGCGGTGTGTGCGCCTCGCTCGGTTCGCACCGCGGCCACCGCCTGCTGCCCGCCGCCGAGGCCCACTCGCGCCTTAAGGTGCGGTAACCCGGTGGGACCCCAAATGTCACGATCAGATGGGGCTGGGCCTGGCCGCTCAGGGGCAGGGCCTGATAGGAGGTTGCCGTATTTACTGGAATTCTGAGCGTCAGGGGCGCAAGAGCGCGTGGGAATTGCGGGGGACGCTGGCTGGCCCATGCAGCCAGGGATCCCGGCCAGACGAACGGAAGCCAGAGGTGGGCGACAGAGAAGGGCGTGTTGAACAGCCGCTCGAGGCTGTTTCTGGTGGGCTAGGGGCGTGTCCTGGCGGGAAGTGCGCTGCGTAAACCTGCATTCCCTGCCCTCAGACGCTCACGCAGGCCTGTAGATGCCGAGCAGAGCAAGGTGAGCTTGAGGCGGAGCCTGGCGCAGCAGGGACACCATCAGTGCCTGCGGCCCACTCGCTTTTCTGTGGACTGGGTGGTCTTGACAGGCTGGCACCACAGGCATATCTCAGAAAACAGCCTTTGTCAATTAGCTTTAAATTGCTGAATAATCTCTCACACCTGGCGCTGGAAATTACCGAGGCCAACAGAAACTGCTCTGTGGCGTCCCCACTCAGGGGGCGCCCAGGGCACGTGCAAGACCAGATGTGCCTCTGGCTGGCATGTGGCCTAGGCCAGGCAATGGGTGAGTGGCTGTCCAAGTCTGCACAGGTGTCTAACTCAAACTCACAGCCATCCAGTCGATTCCGACTCATAGCGAACCCCTTTGGGTTTCAGAGGCAGGAAATCTTCATGGAAGTAGATTGCCCAGTTCTCCTTCTGGGGAGTGGCTGTTGGCTTTGAACTGCCAACCTTCTGGTTAGCAGCCAAATGCCTTAGGCACTGCGTCACCAGAGCTCCTGGCCACAGAGGAAGTCCCCATGTGCACAAGGCTGCAGAGCTTGAGTAGGCCTGGTGGTTGTGAGGTGGGTCCTCACGGAAAGGGAGGCGGGGTGTGGCTGAGCCGCATCTCCATGCGTGGGGACCCAGGTACAGCATGTTTTTCTGTTTGGAACTGGAAATTCTGAGCCACAGTTGTGTGTGCCTGAGGTTTGAGAGGCCCGCAAACATACCCAGTCATTGGAGAATGGAGATGCGCCTACGCCTCTGCTGTCTCCCCTTGCTCAGTCCTGTAGGAGCTCTGGTGGGGCAGTGCCTGAGGCACTTGACTGCTAACCAGAGGGTTGGCTGTTCAAACCCACCAGCCACTCCTTGGAAGGAAGACTGGACAATCTACTTTTGTAGAGATACCGCCTCAGAAACCCAAGGAGGGGTCACTATGAGTTGGAACTAACTCCACCGTAGTAAGTTTGGTTATTTTTTTGGTGCAGTTGTGTGCACACCCAAGGTGGATCTACGGAGCCTATGGCAAATAGCTTTATAAATTGCTGAATGATTTCTCTGCAATGATGCATAGAAACTGCTCATTGTTCCCCCCTCCACCCCCTAGTGGAGCCCAGGGCATGTGCCACACCTGCTATCCCTTCGATTCAGGGCTGTGCACACCCACTCACAGATGCCTGAAACACATGCCACAAACAAGGGCAGCCAAGCATGCACAAACCTCTAAAGGTCTCCAAGGACACACACTGGCACATATGTATCACATAGGTGGCAAATGTGGGTGGAGATGCATGCACATGCATGCAGGTAGACACACATGTACACACATGTAGGCGAACATGCACACACACATGTAGCTGGACCCACATGCACATGCATGTAGGTGGACACACATGCACACATATGTAGACACAGACCAGGAGGTCTGTCATGAGATATTTATTAGACTAGAAGAACAAAGGACAGGTGAGGGGTGGGAGAGGCTGGGTCACGAGGTAGCTAGGCCGTTGTAGTCTCCTGGTGCTGGCGCAGGCTCCTGGGAAGTCATCTTTGCCCACACATTATCAGCATGGCACTGCACCTCTCTGTGGCCCCCAGACTCCTAGAGGGGTAGACCCTGTTAGACTGGCGTTCCAGGCCTCCAGACTCTCCTAGAGCCCGGCCTGGCTGTCCCTCTCGCTCCTTCCTTGCCCAGTCCAGCCCCCGAGCCGTAGCTGATGGTCCCCTTGCCCAAGACAGGACACTCCTCTTCCCAGAAGCCTTCCTAGCCCAGGCTCACCTCTGCTGACAACCTGTACGACTTCCAACCTGGGCAGTCTTTTATCTGCAAAGAGAAAACAGAGCCCATGGAATGGAACTCGGTGCCAGGTGGATCTCGAGTGTCTAAGCGGCTAGTGGGGATGGAATACAGCCAGCCTGGGTCCACCTCAGCCCAGCCCAAGTGGTGGGAAGGAGACCTCTAGAGACGTGAAGGGGGACTCCAGGAAGGAGCCTGAAGAAAGGGGGACAGGGAGTGGGGGGCGGGGGGGGGCAGGACACCGAATGCCTGGGTCCTTAACCAGGAAGAGGGACTGAGACTGGAGTCCAGGCTCCGCACTGGGAGCAATGGGGCCCCGCCGGGCGCTGGGGACTCACGTGAGGCTCTGAAGCCGCGTCGCCTCCTCCTGCAAGCCCATGTCAGTGAGCACGGCTGCGGCGAGCTCGGCGCCGTAGTCCTCGCGGTAGAAGCTGACCAGCTTGTCAGTGAGGTCCACGGCGTCCAGCGGCCCGAGAGCCCCCCGCGGGATGTTCCGAAAGCCGTCGCGCAGCGGCACGGCCCCCAGCTTCAGCTTGAACTTCTTGAGCTCCTCCGCGGTCAGGTTCTCCAGCGCCTCCAGGATGGCGTCGCGCTTCTTTCCCATGGCTCAGCCTGGCCGCCTCTGCAGGGAGAGCCCCCTCGGCCCGGCGCTCCGCAGCCCCGCGCACTGGGCCACCTGCCCTGCCCCGCCGCGGGCGGGGCCGCCACCTGGGAGGGTGTCGCGGGGAGGAGACTGGCCTGGCAGCCGGCCAGTCGAGCCTTTGGTTCCACCCTGGGGACCGACGGGTGGGGAGTCAGCCTCGGCAAGCAGCGCTTTGAGGGGGTTGGTGGAGGTCCTCTAGTTTCGCGCAAGAACCGAAAAACCAAACCCAAACGCACTGCCATGGAGTCGAATCCGACTGACTCATAGCGACCCCTCCTTGGGTTTCCTAGGCGGTATCTCTACGGAAGTAGATTGCCCCATCCTTCCTCCCTCCAAGTGGCTGGTGGGTTTGAACCGCCAGCCTTCTGGTTAGCAGCCAAATGGGGGAGCCAATTTTTCACAGCTGCAGGTGAGATGGGGATGGATTGCTCCTCCCATTCCGCCGAGAAGGAAATTGTAGTCGGAAGCCATGGGGCAGGACTGGAGCCCTGCACGTCTCATTCCAGGGCCTTGCCCCTTACAACAAAGAGTAGCTTTGGGAGGCGCTATTAGGATTTCTTCAATACTTGCATCTCAGAAATCACAGAGGTTCAGCCTGGCTGAGGATCCTGTTCACAGATGTGTTTGATTCCGTGCAGCAGTCACTTTTATTAAATTGCATCTTTGCAGAGTCCACAGGTGGTCAGAGGCAGCCTGGGGGTGTTTTGATGTGAAGGCTAGGGTTAGGGGACATTTCATTTCTTCTTTCACACATCCTTCACTCATACCCTGAAGCCTGCTGGGAGCCAGGCCCCGTGCTCTCCTATCTGGTGGGGGAGGCCGTTAATGACTACATTTGTCATCCTTACAAGGACCTGTGCTGGGGGGCTGACTGCTGAGGGGGCAGAATCAGGGAAGGCAAGGGTAGGGGGGAGTTAACAAGATAGGCCATTGGGGGAGGGCAGGCATTCCCCTGCCTGGGGAATGAGCACAGGCCAGCCTGGCTGGAGGAGGAGGGGGCATCTAGTCTGAGCTGGAGAAGGCAGGTTTAGGCTGCAAGGTGTGGGTTTGGGGGCCAGTGTCCTCATCACTTCTTTGTGCCCCACGCCCAGACGCAGCTCCCCCAGCAGAAACAGCAGCTGCAGGAGGCGTGTATGCGCAAGGAGAAGAATGTGGCCGTCCTGGGGCATCAGCTCAAAGAGGTGGAGGTGAGAGGGCACAGCCTGGCAGAGGCTGGGGCCTGGGCTGCGGACCAGGAGGACCCCCAGCTAAGTGCTTTTGCCTGTCGCCCCCACCTCAGGAAACAGTGCGTCAGTTCCGGGGGGCCATAGGGGAGCAGTTGGGCAAGATGAGGGTGTTCCTGGCTGCATTGGAGGGCTCGTTGGACCGTGAGGCAGAGCGTGTGCGGGAAGAGGCTGGGGCCGCCCTCCGGCGGGAGCTGGGGGGCTTGAACTCTTACCTGGAGCAGCTGCGGCAGATGGAGAAGGTGCTGGAGGAGGTAGCTGACAAGCCACAGACTGAGTTCCTCATGGTGAGTGCTCAGCCCCCAAGACCATGTCCCATTGTCAGACAGGGGCCATGAGGTCCCAACAGGGACAGGGACTAGCCAGGATCACACATTAAGGAGGGGTGAGCCCTAACACTGCTGTTACAGTTGTTCAGGTTGAGCACTGTGCAAGGACACTGTATTTAAGTGAGCACCATTTCTATCATAGACATAATAGATTTGCATATTTATTAGCACAATGTTCTAACAGGTAGAATTAGAGTTTCTTGGGAAAGGGGAACATTTTTCTAATTCACAGAGGTAGAGGGTTAGGGGTGGCCTGTAGTTCTGAGTTTCCTTTGGTTTCTCTGATTCTTCCTGATTCTACCCTTCATCCTTGGAGGGCCCCAGTATCCCCCTGCCTTCCTCACCTCTATTTTTTTTTCTCTCTCCCTCTTTCTCTTTCCAGAAATATTGCCTGGTGACCAGCAGGTGAGATCAACCTGGCCCTGCCCCTTTCCCCAACTGACCCCAGTGTTCTAGGGACCCCACTGTGCCTGCATACCCCAAACCCCATTCAATTCACTGCTATTTCACTGCACCAGGATTTAAGTTGAACACAGAAATGAACCAGAAATGTTCCTTACCCTCAGGGACCTCTCAGATTCTGGTCAAGGACATAGACATCACTGTGTGCTCCGTGCTGCTGTGGAGGGAAGGGGGTAGACAGGGAAGCCTTCTGAAGAGGGGGCAGTTGATTGGGACCCTGGAGGAATGATTAGGAATTGGCTAGGTAAAGAGTTGGAGGAAGAGTACTGCAGGCAGAGGAAACAGCAAGTGCAAAGGTTGGTAGATAGGAGAATAGATAAAACTGGTGTGGCAGGTGGGGACAAGCTGTGAAGGGCTGAGGAGCTTGGACCTTATTTCAAAAGCAAGGTTTTAGGTTGGGGTGTGATGTGGACAGATCCTGGAATGCCAACCACAGCCTTGGTCCTCCTTGGGGTATGTGATGGTTAAGGTTGTGTGTCAACTTGGCTGGGCCATGATTCTCAGTGGTTTAGCATTTAAGATGTAGTCATCCCCCATGATGAGATTTGATATAATATAATCACTTCCATGATGACATCTGCTATGAGCAACCAGTCAATTGAAAGGGAGCATCCAATATATATGGATGTTCTGGCAAAGCTCTCTGGCTTTTTGCTCTCTTTGGATCCTACATCTGGATCATCATCATCTGACTTTCAGTTCTTTGGACTTGAGTCAGTGGCCTATCATATTGCCTGTCAATCTTGGGCCTCTGTAGCCTGTGAGCCAGTGGCCTGCCATCTTAGCTGCTGGATCTGCCTTCTGACCTGCTGATCTTGAGTTCATCAGCCTCTGCAGCTATGTGAGTTAGAAGAAGCCTCCAGCCTGACATCTGACCTATGGATGTGGGACTTGTCAGCCTCTACAACCTCATGAGCCATTTCCTAGAGACAAATCTTTCTATATAAACACATATGTAAGCATTAGTGATTTTGCTTCTCTAGAGAACCCAGCCTAAGATATTTGGTACCCAGAATGGTTCTAGAGAAACAAATTTGTGAAGATGAGTTTTCTAAATTGGTTCTCAGGTCTGGCTAGTCTTAAAGACTCTGCCTCCAGTAGTAAAGAGGGCATTGCTAATCCGTGGCATAAAGTGGCAATAAAAGTTAACAAAATATTACCACCAATAGAGCAAATATTTGTGAGAAGATGGCTCTGGGTGATTGCACATTGGGTATTTTTCTACAATTTTATCAGAAGGAGAAATATAAGGAAACTGGTTGGTTGGTCCTATTTTCATTTGATAAAGGGGTGAAAGAAAGAGATGAACTCAGGGCCTCAGAGTCACAGTTCAAATGCTACATTAAAGCCTGAAAATTGCCACTTGTGCTCTCAAAGAAAGCCTTATTTCTTATAGTAACAGAGCTGATATTGCTGAAAAGTAAATCCAGAGTTTTATCATAAAACTGGCTGTATTACAATGGCAATTGAATTCTCAAGCTTGAATTGTGGCTGAAGTTAAAGTGAGGGCATTGATTGGGAAGAAATTGAATCCTGAAAGTTGGGATGGGGACATATGGGCAGATAATCAGGAAGATGGAGACATTGGGCCCCTAAATTCTGTTGAATTACTCCTGCCAACAGCACCACCCCTCCTGTTTGAAATCATCATCTCTTCCACTCGTATTTGATGAGATTAACTCAGCTGTGTCTGCTGAGGTGATGTCTGGGGTATCGACTTAGGCATCATCAGAAGCATACCTTAAAAGACATTGCTGAATGTTCTCAGAAACTACCCCAACTCTTATTGTTGCTTCTAGACCTATAACCAGACTTAAGTCCTTGTGAGCCCCAAATAGTGAAGTACAAAGTCTGAGTCAGGAAGAAGTATGCTACACTGCAAAAGAGCTCTTTGATTTTTCTAATATCTACAACAGAAACCTGGAGAATATATATGGGAATGGCTATTAAGGGTGTGGGATAATGGTGCAACATAAAGTTGGATCAGTCTGAGTTTATTGATATGGGTACAATAAGCACTGATTCTTCCTTCATTGTTTCATAGATTGGGAAGGAAACTAATAGTTTACTTGGTTGTTTCACTGAAGCATGGATTAAGTGGTGGTCTATACTAAATCAAGTTGGAATGTCATATCTGCCTTTGTATACTGTAGAAGATGGTATCCAAAGGCTTAGGGAAATTGGCATGTTGGAGTAGATACTAAGTTGGACCCATAGACTCACTCATGGAGTGCCCAGAGGACACACATTTTACCATGATGGTGAGGAACAAATTTGTGAAGAGAGCCCCAGCATCCTTGAAGACTGCGTGATTGCTATTTTATGTAAGTCAGATTTGACAGTGAGAACTGCCCAAATTGAGTTAAGATACCTTACTTCAATGGGGCTGATTGGACCCTGTAGTGGTAGGAGCCAAGTGGCAACACTTAATCAACAGAGATAACATGGGTGTGATTACTGTCATAGACAGTAGAGTCAAGCTGTTGTTGTTGTTGTTATGTGCCATCAAATCGGACCCGACTCATAGCAACCCCTCCTTGGGTTTCTGAGGCAGTATCACTACGGAAGTAGATTGCCCAACCTTCCTTCCAAGGAGTGGCTGGTGAGTTTGAACCTCTAGCTTTCTGGTTAGCAGTCACGTGCCTTAGGCACTATGCTACCAGAGCTCCTAGAGTCAAAGCAGTAATCTGAATAGTCTAACTTGTATAGACTTATGGCATTGGTTACCTAGGCATGGTATACCCAGGAGTGAAGTAGATAGCAAATCTACTTAATATTTGCTTGATCTGTACAAGTGGAAGAATTCTATGTCAAGTGAATGGCAATCTAACTTGAGTTGCTAGAAAAGAGAGTCATGGCCCCTCAATCAGTTCCCAGACTTAAGCCAGTTTACAGACCCACAACCCTTTGAAATAAGGGGAGGCCAGGTCACCTTGAGGAAGGTCCCCACTATACTGCCACAATGTATACTGTTAATCTTTCTCCCAGCCCTCCCTAAAGGGATCTATGACCTTTTATGAGAGTGACTGTTGATTGGGGAAAGGGAATACTCAGACTTTTGGGGGATTACTGGACACTAGCTCTGAATTGACACTAATTTCAGGAGATCCAAAGTGTCACTGTGGCCCACCAGTCAGAGTAGGGGCATATGGAGGTCAGGTTATTAATGGAGTCTTAGCTCAAGTCTATCTCACAGAGGGTCCAATGGGTCCCTGAACCCATCCTATAGTGATCTTCCCAGTTCCAGAATGCATAATTGAAATAGGCATACTTAGCAACTGACAGAACCCCCACATTGGATCCCTGGCATGTGGAGTAAACGCTATAGGAAACACCATTTGGAAGCCATTAAAACTGCCTCTACGTATGAAATAGTATACCAAAACCAATATTTGCATTCCTTAAGAGAACTTGCTATTTGGCCTGTGCAAAAAATGGATGGATCTTGGAGAATGACAGTGGATTATGCTAAATTTAACCAGGTGGTGACTTCAATTGCAGCTGCTGTTCCAGATGTGGTTCCATTGCTTGAGCAAATCAATACATCTCCTAGTACCTGGCATACAGCTATTGATCTGGCCAATGCCTTTTCCTTAATTCCAGTTTCAAAGGATCACCAGAAGCAGTTTGCCTTCAGCTGGCAAGATCAGCAATACATCTACACTGTCCTAACTCAGTGGTACATAACCTCTTCAGATCTATGTCATAACTTAGTCCACAGGGACCTTGATTGCCTTTCCCTTCCACAAGATGTCACACTGGTCCATTTTATTATGACATTGTAGACCTAGTAAGGAAGAAGTACCAATGACTCTAGACTTATTGGTGAGACATTTGTGTGCTTGTTGTTGTTAGGTGCCATCAAGTTGGTTCTGACTCACAACGACACTAAGTAGAACAGAATGAAACACCACCCAGTCCTGTGCTATCCTCACAATCACTGCTGTGTTTGAGCCCATTTTTGCAGCTGCTGTGTCAATCCATCTTATGAGGGTCTTCCTCTTTTTCACTGACCCTCCACCTTACCAAGCATGATGTCCTTCTCCAAGGACTGGTCCCTCCAGATAACATGTCTGAAGTACGAGAGATGAAGTCTCATCATTCTTGCTTCTTGTGTGCTAGAGGGTGGGAAATTAACCTGACAGAAATTCAGGCACTTTTCATCTCAGTGAAATTTCTGGGGGTCCAGTAGTGTGGGACATGTCCAGATATTCCTTCTAAAGTGAAGGATAATTTATTGCATCTGGCCCCTCCCACAACTAAAAAGTAGGCACAATACCTAGGGTGCCTTTATGGATTTTGGAGGCTGCATATCCTTTTTTGAGTTTGCTACTTTGATGTCTTTATCAAATGACTCAAAAAGCTGCTAGTTTTGAGTGGGGGCTCAGAACAAGAGAAGACTCTGCAACAGGTTCAGGCTGTTGTGCAAACTGCTCTGCCGCTTGGGCCACATGATATGGCTGATCCAGCGGTGCCTGAAGTGTCAATAGTGTACAGAGATGCTGTTTGGAGTCTTTGGCAGGCCCCTATTAGTGAATCACAATGCAGAAACTTAGGATTTCGGAGCAAAGCCCTGTCATCCTCTGTAGATAACTACTCTCCTTTTGAGAATCAGCTTTTGGCTTGTTATTGGGCCTTAGTAGAGATTGAACTCCTAACCATGGGCCATCAAGTCACCAGTAGCTTGAGCTGCCCATCATGAACTGAGTGTTGTCTGACTCACAGAATCATAAAGTTGGACATGCACAGCAGCACTCCATCATTACATGGAAGTGGTATATCCAGATGTACAATTATAAACTGATTCATGGGACATGGCCAATAGTTTGGCTGAATGGTCAGAGATTTGGAAGGAACACAACTGGAAAACTGGTAGCAAGGAGCTATAGGGAAGAGCTATGTGGACAGACCTCTCTGAATGAGCCAAAGAAGCGAAAATATTTGTGTTTCATGTGAATACTTGCCAAGGGGTGACTTCAGCAAAGGAAGGTTTCAATAAACAAATGAATAGGATGACATGTTCTGTCATCCTCTATTTCCAGCCACTCCTGTCATTGCCCAATGGGCTCGTGAACAAAGTGGCCATGGTGGCAGGGATAGAGATTATGCATGGGCTCAGCAACATGGACTTCCACTCACCAAGGCCGAATTAGCTACAGCCACTGCTGAGTGCCCAATCTGCCGGCAGCAGAGATCAACACTGAGTTCCCAGTAAGGAACCTTTCCTCAGCCAGCAATCTGGTAGCAGGTTGATTACATTGGACCACTTCCATCATGGAAAGAGCAGCATTTGTTTTTCCCCCTTACTGGAATATACATTTATTCTGGATACAGATTTGTCTTCCCTACAGGCAGTGCTTCTGCCAAAACTATCATCCATGGACTTACAGAATGCCTCATCCACTGTCATGGTATCCTACACAGCATCACCTCAGATCAAGGGTCACTTCACAGCAAATGAAGTACTACAGTGGGTATATATATATATATTGTTGTTGTTGTTGTTGTTATATGCAGTCAACTCAGCCCATACTCACAGTGACCCTTCCTTGGGTTTCTGAGGCTGTATCACTACGGAAGTAGATTTCCCAACCTTCCTTCCGAGGAGTGGCTCACACATACACACAAGCATCCCTGGTTTTGCTTTCCTAGAGAACCCAGCTTAAGAGAGGGTACTTCTTGCCCTAGCCCCACCTCCACTTCATGACTCCTCCAGGAATACCCCTCACAGACACCTTTCCTGACCTTCCCACTCCCAGATTACAGAAGATCCTGGCAGATTCGCCACCTCCTGCCCGCTTGGACATCCAGTTGCCTATCATCTCAGATGACTTCAAATTCCAGGTGTGGAGGAAGATGTTCCGGGCTCTGATGCCAGGTACTGGGAGGGGCTGGCATTGGATTTGTGTGTGTGACAGTCTGGTTGATGGGAGGCTGTAGCCATAAGTAGGAAGGACTCCTAATCTCAACTGGAGAAGTCATCAAAGAGGGTACCCATAGCTTCTTTATCTCTGGGGCTCCATACTCCATCCCCCTTGTCCAAGGCAGTGCTTGGAGGAGAAAGATCTTTGAAGGTGTGAAGTTTAAGGGGGTGGTGATTGACATGGAGAGGATGCTGCTTGTCCCAGGAATGCTGCTGCTGCTGGAATTAGGCCTGAGAGACTGGGGCCTGGGTTTGACTCTGTGTCATCCCCATTGACTTCCTGTGTTATCCGCAGGAGATGATAATCTCTGCTAGTTGAGGTCAGAGAATTTGCAGAGATCATGGGCCCTGGGGACTGTCCTGGGTCAGACACTGACTCTGGTGGCCAGGAGCTAGGGAGGCCTGAGGGCTCAGCCTCCCCTCCTAAGAGCTAGTGTGCAGCTGGTGCTCTGAGCTCCAGGACATACCCATGGCCCATGTAGCTCTCACTGCCTCAGCAGATGGGACTAGAGGAAGGTCAATTGTATCCAAGAGAAAACTAAGGTCCAGAGACAGACTCAAGTCTGGTTGAGGTCACACAGTCAGATGGGGTAGGGGCTGGCCTAGTGCCAGGCTTTCTGACTTGATTCCTGCTCTGTGATCTTGAACCTTGGGACTTTTTATGGTCCTCAGATGGTGAGTTTCATGTATCAACTTCATCCTCCCTATGACACTGTAAGGAGGCATTTATGGCCTTAGTTTACAGCTGAGCAAACCAAAGTTCAAATAGGTACAAGTTCTAGCCCAGCCAGGAAGCAAAGAGCTCACTTTCCAGAGTCGTTGGCAGGAGGAGAGGAGATAAGGCTACCCCATAAACTCAGTGTAAACGTTGGTTGAAAAGGGGTGCGACAGAGGCCAAGATGCAGGGTTCTGACCGTTGTCCCTCTGACAGCGTTGGAGGAGCTGACCTTTGACCCGAGCACAGCGCACCCGAGCCTAGTAGTGTCATCGTCAGGTCACCGTGTGGAATGCTCGGAGCAGAAGGCGCCGTCGGCCGGCGAGGACCCGCGGCAGTTCGACAAGGCCGTAGCGGTGGTGGCCCACCAGCTGCTCTCCCACAACGAGCACTACTGGGAGGTGGAAGTGGGCGACAAGCCACGCTGGGCACTTGGCGTGATTGCGGCAGATGCCAGTCGCCGTGGCCGGCTGCACGCTGTGCCCTCGCAGGGCCTCTGGCTAGTAGGGCTTCGCGAAGGCAAGATCCTGGAGGCACACGTCGAGGCCAAGGAGCCACGCGTGCTGCGCACAGCGGAGAGGCGGCCAACGCGCATAGGTATCTACCTAAGCTTCAGCGATGGCGTCCTTAGCTTCTACGATGCCAGCGACACAGATGCGCTCGTGCTGCTCTTTGCCTTCCACGAGCGCTTGCCGGGGCCGGTGTACCCCTTTTTCGACGTGTGCTGGCATGACAAGGGCAAGAACGCGCAGCCGCTGGTGCTAGTCAGGCCAGGTGGAGAGGAGGCCTGAGTCATCTGGCTGGGTTAGGGAGGGGTGCCAGGTGGTGGCGGTTGGAGGCTCAGGCCTTGCTCCTCAGGCCTGGGGGGAGGCGGGGGAGGCAGGTGAGGGCAGAGGTTGCCCGGGCTGAAGGTTGCACCAAGGGGGTTAGGGATTAGGGGGTCTCCAGGAGTTCTGAGAAGGGTGTATGTGTATGTGTGGGGGCCAGA